CCCCGGGCCGCTGTGACGCCTGCCGGGGCTCGGGGGTGACCTGCCAGGCCCCCTGCGGCCACGCCTTGTGCAGGACGTGTTTTGCCGCCGACAGCCCGCAGCCGGCCTGCTGCAGGGCGGCCCTGAGCTGCGGGATCACGGGGACGTTCAGGGTCTCCTCCTGGTCCCAGAGTCTGCCTGGCTACTATCGAGACCCAACGCTCCAGGTTTCCTACATCATCCCTGATGGGGTGCAAGGGGTAGGTACCCACACCGGGGGCTTCCCCGTCCCGCTCAGGACCTGCGCTGGGTCCTGTCAGCGTGGATGGGGCAGGGAGAGCAGCTACAGCCCCGTGGCCCACGTGCAAAGCCGTGGAGGTGTTGACCCATGCGGAAGGCAAAAATCTCCACGCCGGGCTTGGGAGCAGCTCAGAGTGACTGGCAGAGCCCATGGGGGCCGCAGTCATGGGCTGGACAGAACCTCAGAAGCCAGCTCTGAGGCCCAGCACTCAGGTGGTTGTTTAAAATGCTTTTTTCCTGTTCTAAGGTTGGTGATCCCCACCCAGGACAGCCTTACAAAGGGGGAAAATTTTATGCCTTCCTGCCTGACAACAGGGAAGGGCAGAAGACAGCATTGCTGCTGAAGAAAGCATTTGAGCATGGGCTGACATTCCAGATCAAGTCCTTCAATGGAGAGGAAAGAGTGACATGGGGCCTTATCCCCCACAAAACCTCCTGGGATGGAGGCAAAGACAGGTATGGCCCAGCTTGTCCCAAGCTTCTAGGCATGGGGGTGTTTTTTAGCAATGGGAGGAGGAGAACCATGGGCTCAACAAATCCTGTACGGGCTCTGCCAGGCTCCCGCAACGGCAGAGCTGGTGCCTCCCTTTGCGCGGCTCGGGGCAGCTGTGGCGTGGCAGCCCAGCGCTGGCACCCTCCAGCCCGTCCCATGCCAGGGACAGGAATTCCGGGCCCTGTCACCTCCAGCTGTCCTGGCGCTGCCCCTGACAGGCTCTGCCGCCAGCCCCGGGCGCCGGCTGTGCCTGCGGGCAGCAGCAGGTCCCCGGGAACGGCACTTCCACCCTCAGCCCCCGGTGAAGGGATGGGGTGAAAATAAACGGCTGCTCTCCTCAGCAGTTCCAGCCCCCCGGCAGGGTTTACACCGCTCCCTTCTGCCCCCAGGAGCGGCTATCCGGACGCCCAGTACCTGCGCGAGGTTTGCACGGTGCTGAAGAGCCTGGGCATCGCCTGAGCCTCCCGCCACGGCCCCGCCTTCGCTTCGCCTTCCTTTCCAGCTGGCAAAACGGCAGCTTAGCACAGATGGCTCGGGAAAAAGCAGGTGTTTGTCCAAGGCGCTCCCGTGTCCCCAGAGGCAGCCAGAAATCCACACACTAGTGACAGCAGCAACCTCCATCCCCACCCCCTGCCAGCCTCGGCGTAGATCAGAGCTTCCCCGAACCTCCAGCTCCTCAGGCCGCGGGGCCTCGCCAGCTTGCACCAGCACCAGCTCCAGGCTGAGCCCAGCCTGGCTTTCGGCGGCACAACCCACGCCCGGGCAGGAGCCTGCCTGTAGCCCAGCTCATCCCCCACCAGCCGCTGCAGGCAGGTTCCAGCTCAGCCAGAGCCTGGGCCAGAGCCGAGCTGTGCCTGGACTCAGCTGCTCATCAGACAGATGGACCCCGGCTGCAGCCCCTCCCCGGCACCCGCTCGGGGCCAGCAGGCAACTGCTGCTCTCTGGGGAGAGCATTAGTGGCCCAGGACAGCTGCCTCCCCAAGAAGGGACAGTCTTGAAGGGGAGAAACACAAATAAACAACATTTGTTCCCGCATTTCTAGTCGTGGTTGTTCACACCTTGTCCTTCCATCACCCCAGGCCCCCATTTCAGTCTCCACTGCCTACAGACACCCTGGACAGAGAGTAAGTGCAGAGGCCAGCTGAGGGGTTTGCAAACAAAATCCACCATCCCTGCCCTCCAGAACAGGGCAGTGGAAGTTCAAGTGCACTCCAGGCAACAATTAACAGCTGGCTTTGAGAGCAGAGGCATCCTCTCACCCTGTGAGAGTTCGAATTTAGAAACTGAGCCTGTCCACCCACCGACTGCCTGGAGAAGCAGTAAAAGCATCCCAGAGGCTGAGCTGCAGGCAGAGGGGATCATTCCAACAGAAGAGTGAGCAGCCGATCACTGAGGGTTTTGTTATGCTTTTAATTAACATTGGAGACACATAAGGCATATGGTAACATTAGACAGAGGAGCATTACACATTATAGTCATGTAAACAGCATTGGCACATTTGCTTTCTGTCCAACTTGGTTACACGCACAAAGCAGAATATATTTTTTAAACAAAGGCTTTCCATGTGTCTGTAGGATGAGCATCACTCGTATCACACGTCAGCAAATCAACACGACTCAGACAGCACAGACCAGACCGTACGTGCGAGAGGCTCACGCATTTCACATCATTACTTGCCCCTCGCGCTTTGCCATCACCAGGGCTTGGCACGCTGGAGTCGAGATCAGGCAACAAGAGTGGTTTTACACCTCTGAGAGCAGCTGTAAGTGGGCCAGGATCCTGCACCAGTTAAAGCCTGAGGCCCACAGTGCTTCTTACTTCTCCCTGGTCGATGAGCTCTGGTTTAATACAGGTGTCCGAAATGCAACCTCCGGCTGAAGTCCTTCCCCGCCTCGGGGCACGGGGCAGAGGCCGTGCTCCTCTGCAGGAGCTGGGGCTGCTTCCACTCCCCTCCCCTCCCACAGTTCCTCAGCACGCAACGTGAGCCAGCTCGAGAGAAACCAGAGTGAAAAGCGTGACAAAAGCTGCCTGGTGACAGCAAAGGAGTCGCATCTTGCCCAGGTCCTGCAGTACCAGCCTGGGAAGGCGACGGCAGGAGTGGCCCTGGCCCGGGCCCCCCGCGCTGAGCGGCCCCCGGCAGCGGGCAGGGCCACCTCACGCTTCCCCCTTGGACTCTGCACGGCCCAACCTGCGGGTCAGACAATCAATAAAATAAACATTAAACTGCACTCACAGCTGGAATGGCACAGGCACCTCTCACTTCCTCAATAGCACGACTTCACCCTAAACAGTTAAGCAACATTGAGTGGAATGATTTTTATCCTGGGGTTTTTGTTTGTTCTCTGCTTTGGTCCTTAGTATACAAACCTGCTGGTTAATATTGAATTAAGACACTTGGAAGTTGTTTTACATTGGTTCTATACTTATTGGCCCATAAAATGTTTGTCCATTAAAAAAAAAAAAAAGGTAGAACAACAAAACCAGAAAACAACCAACCACAATCGCCCAGAGCAGAGCACTGATCAGCGAGGCAGTAGAGAGCAAAGTTATGTTTAATCTTGGTCTTTCTGTAGAAAAGATTGTTGCTACCAAGGAACATAAACCAGTCAGCGCTAAACTCTAACAGAGTCACCGCTCAGCGCTCCCGCCCCGATCAGGGCTTCAGGAAGGCGTAGGCAGATACACGAGCAGCTTCCCGAAGAGTCAGGAGCTGGGACGGTTCCCCGAGCACCAAGGGGCGGCAGCAGGTAAAGCCTCACTCGAGGACCAGCCCGCACCCAAGCGCTGCCCTGGGGGAGACGAGGACCGGGGGGCCCAGAGCGGCTGGGACAGCCCCCGAGAGGCTGCACTGAGGGACAGGGAGCGCCTCTGCCAGCGAGTCAGCTACACCAGCGGGACCACAGAGCACTGGCAGGAGTCGTAACAGGTTTTTGGCAATACTTAGAGAGGCCAGAATGGAAAAGGCTCCAGTGACTTCCTAGTCCTTACAGGCATGTGGAAGAAGGCACTGAGATGCTGTTTTCCGTGGTGTGGCGCGGGGCAGCAGGTCGGGGGGTCCTGCGGGAAGCTGCGAGGCTCCCGCCACCCCCCCCCGCTGCGCTGCGAGAGACCGACCGTGGGCGCCCGGGAGCCAGGGCCCCACGTAAGGCACTGAGCACGCGCCTGGCCGGGCAGGGCAAGGAGGGGAGGGCACTGCGAAGCACAGCGCGAGAGTTTTCCCCTCTGCAAGTGTGCAGAACCTGACGATGCGCAGGGCTGTGCCGGTGAGCACGCTGCTCTTTCATCAAGGTGAAGTCCAGTTTCTCGGAGGAACGGGTCCAGACTTCCCATTTCAGCAATTTAGACAGTCCTTCTGTTGTCAGACCTGGTAAGGCAGCATTAGACACTGTTGGATTTAACCTAAATTAGCACGACAGGGCAGGCTGAAAGGAGAAGCAGCAAGATTTTGGCTTCAGAAAGGTTAGAAGTTGTGCTTGTGAGTTTCATCAGACCATGTTTATGAAGTTCACGTATCAGGTGCGAGAGATGGACTGAAAAGGATCTGTCAGGGCTCCAGCCCTCCTCCGAGCTCGCAGGGAATGGGGTGTCTTGGTGCTTAGAGGCAGCCAGGACCAGCGCCGCAGAGGCCGTGCCTACGCGCTGCGGCAAGGCGCGGGGCTGGGCACGGAGCCCAGGCACAAGCTGCACCGAGACAGGGCCCGGCGGGAGGCTGGAGCTGGCAGGGGAAGGGGCCCCACTCTGCCCAGCACAGGGGTCCCCAGCCCCGCGCTTGGCTGCTCGGAGCCGAGGGGCCTCACGTGGGGCCCCTGGCCCAGCCAGCGCCTCCCCTCCCCGGGCAGGCTCAGCACCACTCCCGGAGCCCGAGCCCTTCCAAAGCGGCGGCAGCTCTTGGCGCCCTCTCGTTTACCTTTTCAAATCCAAAATGAAGCTTAAAAGCCCGCAGCACCTACAGCCCGTGACAAAGCAAGCACAAACAGCACCACAGTCGCCCAGGGCTGAACACAGGGTCCAGCAGGAAGCGGGGGCACCACCAGGGCATTAAGTGCTCACAGAACGAGGCTTGGGTCTGGCACAGCCACATTTCCAGATGCAAGGAAGAAAAGAGGAAGAGAAACCGAGTTCTGGTCTGGGAGGAGCCCCCCAGGCAGCTCCTAAACCCTCGGTGCTGGAAGAGAGCCCAAGGTCCCAAGACTTGCAGTGTCAGGGGAAGAATAGTCGAGCCCTACAGCAGCACCGAGCCAGGAGGTGAGAGCCGGTTTGAGGGGGGACCTGACGAGCTAGCTACGAGAGAAGGGAACACACAATTTAAACTGCTCAAGACGCCCAGGCCAAGGGGCTTGACAGAGAGCTGGGCAGTTCACCCCCTCCAGCAGTACGCCGGCGTTACCGAGCGGCCACGGAAGCAGGCTCACAGGACTGATTCTTGCAAGTTCCTTCCCAAACCGCAACACCTCCCCAGCACACAGGGCAAGCACAAAGCAAGCAGTAATGGGGGCTTATTTTGTTCCCATCTTGCTGGCGTCCAATTCAACACTGCAGCCCTTGGAAATACAAGCACGAGGGTGAAGTTTAACCTTAACAATACCAGCTTGGAGCCCAACATTAATAAAGCACAGAGCCAACATCAATTGTTCCAGTCGTTTGAGACACAGTTGAGTCCTTATGGTCTCTAAAAGTCAGACACGGTTTAGATCTCCCTACACAGTTTGGAATCAGAAAATGGACAAGATCAAGTTACCCAACTGAAACTTTTCTTCTGTGTTCAGTCACAGCCCAGCCCAGCCTGTCAGGTTATTTGTCGGCTGCACAGAGAAGTGACTGCAAATTAAGTGCAATATACCATAGGCTCCAAAATGCCAGGATGGTTATTTACAAGGCAAAGACAACGTGACCTGTTACTATCTGACTGGTGTTAGAGGCCAAAGAAAGCAGAGGCGAGGGCGCGGGGTGCTCAGTGTAAGCGGAAGCGTCGCCCGCGCTAGGATTAAACTAGGCCAGCCATGCTTCTCCTCTGGCTGTTGAGGAAACGTCCTCAGTTTGGCTCATTCTCCTGCTGAATGAGCTTCTCAAAGGTGACAGTACAAACGCTTCAGCAGGGCTCACTGTGGAGATACTGGGCAGCTGATACAGGATGTCACATCTCGACTTTACAGTGACAGGCTACGCAGTTGTTAATCACCAACTGCCTGGAAGCTTCAGCTGCGCTGCCAGAGAAAAATAAAGTTAGTTTGGAAATTCAGTAGAGAAACAAGTGATTAGAAAGGCATACAAAAAAAACAGGCTTCAAAACAGAGAGCTAGGGCAGGAGGCATATCTGGCAAAGGGTCAGTCACAACGACAGCATGCAAACCTCATCTGAACTTTAACCACGATGTTCTTGCACTGGTGAGGATGGAAGCTACTGATCTGTCCATTTCCAGGTCCCAAAGAGATCAGGGAGTTAAACCATGAATTCACAATCTGCACACGTATCTTCTTCTTAGTTCTCTTCTTTTTTGGATTCTTCCTTGGGTGCCTCAGGAACCAGGATGACCTTTCCAACATTCTTCTTCTCTTGCATCTGCTTCATGGCATCTGCCACCTGGAAGCAACAGGAGTCTGGTGAGACCCAGACCCCCAGGCAGTGCAGTCCGGCCCCTCCCAGGCCCTCGCTCCCCCAGACTGGTCCAAGGGCCACCCAGGAGGCAGCTTTCCTGCAGTCCAAGCAAGTGCCAAGCATTCTGGTGCCTCTGCACAGACCCATTTTGGACAGAGTTGGGCAGCTACTCTGGCCTGCTCCAGAAACTCTCCTCAAGAATTCCCAGAGACCAACCGTCCCACACGCAGGGACACTCTGCTGTGCAAGCCATGGAGGAGCGAAGCGTGTGTCACCTCCTCTCCTAACAGGGGAGCACTGCAGAAACCCAGCCAACAGCTGGGACAACGCTTCTGCTATCTACACGACCCCAGAACAACACATGTCCAGACTTTTATTATTATTTTTAAGCAAAATGGCACCTGAGCCAGGCCTGGAATCTTCCTTAGGCTTTTGCATCGTCCTAGTTCTCAGGTACTAACACCGAGGGATCGTTACAAAGTCCTTTTCTCCCCAAGTCCTACCCCAGCAAAGGATTCCCAAGGAAAGAACTCTGCCTGGACACACAGAAGCAACACCACCGAGCACAGCAGAGCTTCCCCCCTTCCAACATCCTCATTCTGCTTCACTGCCTGGGCTCTTTCTCTCCTGAAGGGCAGCAGCAGCCTCCCAGCTGTCTGGTTAGTCACGGGGTGCAGACTCGGGGCAGTCACCCGTCCATAACCAGCCCCTCCGCGGGCTGCTGCTGCCCACAGAGCACCTGCCCCGTTCCTCAGGGACACTGTCTGGCATCGCCAGCTCTGTGCACTGGAGCAGAAGAACCCAGCCACTTTACTCCCCCTTAATATCTTAAAAGAAAAAAGGCACTGAATGCCTCCAACAGATGGTTATTAAACATTCGCAACAGCTCAGCCCCCGTGAACAAGGTGCTCATGCTGAGCCAGAGCTCGCTGTGCAGATAACAATTGCCTAGTCATTTCTGAGTGCTGCCAGCCTCTCTGTTAGCTCAGACTCACCTGATCAAAGGGCCACACAGAGTCTATTTTGGGCTTGATCTTGCCTTGACTGTACAGGTTAACCAGCTTGGCTACAACACCTCCGACAAGCTCAAATTCTTCATCCATGTATCCAAGGTGGTAGCCACACACAGCCTTGTTATGGTGTAGGAGCTGCAAGGCACTGATGCTGAACTGGTTCCACCAGGTTTTAGCCATAGCCATGAGGTTCTTCTTCTGCCCAGTGAGCAGGTTGGCTACCCCTAAAAGGAAAGCAAGACACAGATGAGCTGGAATGAACACAACAGGAGAGGCAGCGGGTGTCCCATGTGACAGCTCGGACAATACGCAGGGGAACGGCCGCTCACAGTGACCGAGGACAGAGGAGGGAACTGGACCACATCAGGATCTGCCCAGTCGACCTTCAGCAGGAACAGGTACCTGCCTCGCCCTCAAGACACACGGAATTTGGATTATCACACCCATATACTGCAAAAATACGGAACGACTCCTCTCTCAGGAGGGCAGCAGCAGCGCAGCGAGACTGGAGTGCTGGCAGGGGCAATGGGGGGTTACAGGTCTGGCCCAGGGCGGCCGGCAGGAGACCCCTGCCCTTCCCCTAGACCCCGCTCGCCACGCGGGACCACAGCAGCAGCAGCAGCACACTGGTGCGAGGATCTGGAATCCCACTGGGGGCTGTGTGAGGGCTTTGTCTACGGGACAAAATCACAGTGTTTCAGGGCTGGGGAATGAAGAGATAAGTATTCAGTAGCCTCAAACCTCATCACCCACACATCCTCTAGAAGAAAAGCAAGGCTCTATTAGTGCTGTGCATTAAGTCAGCCTGGACAAAGCAGCTGTGCCAGCGTTCCTCTGTGAGGACATTCCAGCTTCCCCTGCAGGCACCAGCTCATACTCGGAGAGATCTTGTGGTGGGAAGGAAGAGCCTTGGAGCCCGTGACCAGAGCTCCTGGGACACGGCACAAATCTCACTGCCCTCAGTCAACACATCCTAAAGACCTTCATGAAGCAGCAGAACTGCAACACAAGCAGCGACCAGCGACAGCGATGCTCCTGCAGGCAGGGTGTTGCCCGCGGTCACACGGTCCCTCCTGCACCAGAGCTGGGCACGCAGCTCACACTCACTGTGGCTCACACTCACCGTGGCTCACACTCACCATACGTGATGAGTTTGCCCATTGGCTTCAACAGGTTAAACGCTTTGGACGTATCAGATCCTCCCAGGGGGTCCAGGACAATGTCAACACCTAGAGGGAATTGAAAGGAACTAGAAGTGTCTTTGCACCTGAAGGAAAGGCAGGACAGCTGTAGAAGTCCTCCACCACACAGTACCTTTGGGAGAGATTTTCCGGACCTCCTCCGCGTAATCCATCGTTCTGTAGTCAATGGGGTGAGCAACCCCACTCTCCTTGAGCGAATCATGCTTGGAGGCAGATGCTGTGCCAAAGATGGTGACATTCTCCACGGTCTTGCACAGCTGGATGGCAGCAGTTCCCACACCACCTGCAAGCCAGCAGGGAGACAGACTGGGAAGCAAACAGCCCCAGCAGTCAGAAAACCCCCTGGTTAGGTAAATTATCCCTGCCTGTGCCAGGTGCACAGCGCCTGCAATAACGGCTCTGCCTGGGGCAGGCTCATGCCTGTGACACGCTGGGGGAGACCAAGCCCAGCTGCTGGGAAATGGCTCAGCGCTCGCCAGCGCCCGCGCGAGGGCCGCATCGCAGGCGGGTCCCGTCAGCAGGGCTCCGAACGCTTCTGCAGCCCTGCCACCCCCCAGAACCTGGATGGTGAGGCCAGGAGTCTCAGCACAGGCTGGCCAGAACTGTTTACCTGCAGCCATGTGGATGAGGACGCTCTGGTTGGGTCTCAGGTTTCCAAAGTCAAACAGGATCATGTAGGCAGTGATGTAGTTGACAAGAAGAGCAGCCGCTTCCTCAAAGCTCATCCCCTCAGGCATCAGGAAAGTCTGACTGGCCGGCACATTCACCACCTCTTGCCAGAGCCCTGACCTCGCCAGGACCATGACCTTATCGCCAACCTTAAATCAAAGCGAGGACAAGGCGCTCTGACACAAGCTGCAGGCTAGCAGTGGTGTCCCCCCGCCCGCGTTCACCAGGGCCCGGCACGCGCTGTGCTCCGCAGGGACCGCGGCGGCATCGGGCAAACGCTCCGCAGAGCCTCTTGTCATGGCCTGGCCCATGCCGGGAGCCTCGGGGGGGCCCGACTGCCAGCTGCCCCCCGACTGCCTGCTGCCCAGAGCAGCAGAGCCCCGGCGAGGCCGGAGGGATGGGGCCGTGTCCTGCCTACCCTGCCCGGGCTGGGAGCAGAGTCTGACACCGTGACGTACCGCTGCCCCTTGCAGGGACCGTGCGGCCAACGGCGGGAGGCCTGGGGCTTAACGGGATCAGCCCTGGAAACAGCACGACCAGCCTTCAGAAAACCTCCCAGGTCTAAGCCTCAGGCCTGGAGTCCCCCAAATCTGCTCTTACTCCGCTGGGCAAGAAACACCCACTTGCTGCGGGAGGGGAGGGAGGCGGCAGAGCCCGAAGCACTGTCAGCAGCAGAGAAGAGGCAGCGCCAGGGCCCCTCCGCTCCCCTCTGTGGGTTTGGCATTTACACTTGAATAAACCAAGATGTTCTCCTGGCGGGGGGATTCATCCCTGACACACTCGGGTTTTTCAAGGCGCTTTGTTTCGGTGCTTGTGCACCCAAGAATCATCTCAGAGCACCGTAACTGCAACAGCCCTAAAACCTAAAGGTCTGGGACACGCAGAGCCAACTCCTCTGTCGCCCAAGTTGCCCGAAAAGCAGCAGCCGCAGCCCCAACAGCGAGAGCAGCGACCCCGCCCGCGCCCCACCTCGGCGCCCCCCGACGCTCCGCGGAGCCGCTGCTCCCGCTCGCCC